TATTATTTATATTAAAACATCATTTGAATCTAATTTAATAATTTTTATTCTATTTTCTTAATCAATATTTTAATTGGTTATAAAATACATTATATAGCTTTTCATGTAACAAAAACCATAGCCAAGAGAAATAGTTTTGAACATCATGAACTAAGATTTTATGAGCACTTACGATGATCTTATGACGCCACATTTTGATCCATGTATTTTTCCATTCTATAGTTCTCATTCTCAATCAACATATTTGTCATAGGCATCGTATCACCTCTCTTTAAACATGAAATTGAGAATGAGAATAAAAAAGAGCAAGAGAGAAAGACAATTATAAATTACCAAAAAAATCGATAAAAAGGACGATAAGACTTCTGATATGATAATTTTTATGAGATTAGTCGAACACATAATTCCAAAAGAATTGGACTAAGTTAACCCAAGCAGGTCTATGACAAAGAACTATAATATTCCTCAATGTTTAATAAGTTAATTTAAAAAGAAAATTTATTTGAGACATGAGCACTCCTAAAAAATATGTTATAATTGCTAAATACATTTTGGGGCCTACCCTAAAAATTTCTTATTTAGAAAAAAAATCATTGTTTCTGTTTTAGAATCTTTCAATAGGATCATGAATGGTGATGCTATTAACTCAATGAGGGCTACCTCATTCTTCAAAGCTAATTGAACCACAAGGTAGATGGTGAATCAAAATATCTCAATAAATGACTGCATTCAACAATGCGGGTTTATAAAACAACATCCAATTGATATATCAATGAAATATAAATGGACTAAAAATGGTGTCCAATGATAATAAGAAATTCTTAAAATTGACAGACATAACCTAATCGAGTTTTCATAGATCCATCACTCGGGTTATCAAACTTCAAATCTACATGGACATGGAGAAAATTGTCCCAACATAGTCGGGAATTGATTGTCAATAATATACAAATTGTGTTGTCGTAGGAAACTCTATATACTCCAAGCCAAAAAGGAGACAAACCTAAAATTTTTATGATTATTCATTTGAACAAATAAGGAGTAAGACTTCCCTCTATCAAAGTGTGATAAGGTGCCTATGAATAAAAAAATGAAATGTAATATAAACCATGAGAATCAAAGTTACTTGACATGGACTTAAAATCCAATTTGGATTAGGATAATTACTAAAGTTTTTAAGTGCTCTAGTCAATCATCTGAGCAAATATAAATTATAAGATCACCTAAATGGGAGGAAGCAATTGTAATTCCCAAGGATATGAAGTCGTGAAATATTATATATCCTTAATTTGGTGTCTTCATTAATATGCAAGGGATTAGGCCATGTTAAATTTAAGGCAAGGGAATTCATCATTGTGATGAGTGTAAGAGGCACAAATTATGATCTATAAATTTCTAGTCATTAGTGGAACTCCAAAATTTAGTTTATTTTTAGAAACTTCCAGATGCCTCATAATGAATAGGAAACTCTTTTCTAAAAATATTTATTTCTTACTTCATTTTATTTAAAATTAACAAATCATTCAGTTTTATAGAAGAATTACTTTTGTTTTAAGAGCCTGGTCTATATGCGATTCCTAGAAAAGTATAAATAAAAAAAAAAGTAAATAAAATACCTCACAATATTAAACATAATCACATATTACAAGAGTAGATATATGGGCTGGTTGTTATTGTGTTGGGAAAGACACTCTAGTAAAAGAAGAAAGATGGTATGAATTGATCATAAATCTATATAAAAATGTACATCAAAATGAGTTGGTCTGCAAGCACGGAGCCATTATAGAATGAAATGTAGTGTCATGATGCTAAGGAGATAATAAGCTCAAATTTAAGGCAAACCTAAAAAATGGTCAAGGGGAATGATGAAGGTAACCTTTAAATATTCAAATTGCGTCAAAAATAATACTAAAAAATAGACCTTTAACAAGTATGTTGCATCAATAGAACAAATTATACTTATTGGCTACACATCTTATATGAGAACTAAATTTGTTAGGACATGTCCCAACATGATTCAAATAATTAAAATACCAACTCAAAAAGACAATTTGTAGGTCAAAGTAATTTGAGTGTAAGAAAAATCATTGTAACCTTGGGTTGCCCTATTAGTAAAGATTCTTTCAAACTTGTTAGTATATAACATGCATATAAGGTATGATCTAGCCAAGTAGGATATATCCTGACATGAAATGACCAATCCATCACCCTATAATGTTGATATATTATAGGGTGGATCCTATCATAAACCTACCAATCAAAATTTTCAATGTGGTGTTTTAGCCAAGGATGGTGTTACCTTACATTAATTGACTTATCAATTATATGAAGGTGGTGTTTTAGTTAATTAGGGCACCACTTCACATGATTTGACTTACCAACCATTTGAATGTGGTGTTTTAGTTAAGTAGAGTGCTACCTTAGAAGAGTCGACTAATAAACCATGTGAAATGTTGTTTTAGTCGGGCAAGGTGTTTTTTAACATGAGCTAACTAATCATCCTTGTATGATGGTGAATGTTCCTATTGGTTAGAGCATAACCTATGATAAGGGTGATATTATAAATAAATTAAGTTGCACACACACACACACACACACACACACACACACACACACACACACACATACATAAATACATATATACATAGAGGACTTGGTTGCCTAAGGCATATTTTCTGGCAAAGGTCAAGTTGGCTAAGGTTTATCCTGTTTCAATTGACCTACTGTAAGTCATATTAATCAAGGCATATCCTATGTCAAATATCAATTACCACGAAAAAAAAATAATTAGGGTATATATTGCATTGATGGACAAAATATGCAAAAGGAAGTAGGAAAAATAAAATCAAGCATCTGATCGTGGCTGCATCAGTAAGTCACTACATACTAGAGGCACAGTTCCTTACACTGAGTATATGAAAAGATCAATAAGTCATAAGCAACGTATGTAAGAAAATTTTATAAGTACTATTTACTAATTAAATTTATAAAAATATATACAAAAAGAGTGCTTTGAAGAGAATCAACATCACAGAATACATCAATACTACGTGGATCACCAATATGATAACATCAAATCATAAGAGCTTATGCAAGCAAAAAATACATTTTTGAATAATTATCCATATAAATTTTGATTATCTTTTAATTTCATTACAATACTTTATAGGATGACTATATGAGACTGCAGATGATGTAGTGTCAAAGATTAATAGGTGTATAAAATATGGGGAGCCTAACACTCCCCTATTAATATATATTTACTCACATAAAATTTGTATCTATTTCTCTAATTAATTTAAGTGTTGAAAACGAACACAAATATTTTTTTGAGCCGAACACAAACACATGCTCAGCTCGCTCAAGCTAAGCCCACACGTTTCTTTATTGTGGCATTAGAAGATTATTCAACAAATGGCATAACATATCATTCCATCCAAACACAAATCTCCATCATTAATACAAATAGTTTAGAATGGCTTGCTGACACTTGGTCTTCAGTTTCATTTGCATTACCCCTCCAAGGCCACAACTTCTTATAATGTTCTTGAAACAGCTGGTCATCCATAGGGCATTTCCGAGGATTAGTTTCAAGTTAACCCCAAATTAATATAGAATCCAAATCTCTAACTTCACTCTAAATCAATTCTATCAAACTTCATGTAACACACACACACACACACACACACACACACACACACACACACACACACATACATAAATACATATATACATAGAGGACTTGGTTGCCTAAGGCATATTTTCTGGCAAAGGTCAAGTTGGCTAAGGTTTATCCTGTTTCAATTGACCTACTGTAAGTCATATTAATCAAGGCATATCCTATGTCAAATATCAATTACCACGAAAAAAAAATAATTAGGGTATATATTGCATTGATGGACAAAATATGCAAAAGGAAGTAGGAAAAATAAAATCAAGCATCTGATCGTGGCTGCATCAGTAAGTCACTACATACTAGAGGCACAGTTCCTTACACTGAGTATATGAAAAGATCAATAAGTCATAAGCAACGTATGTAAGAAAATTTTATAAGTACTATTTACTAATTAAATTTATAAAAATATATACAAAAAGAGTGCTTTGAAGAGAATCAACATCACAGAATACATCAATACTACGTGGATCACCAATATGATAACATCAAATCATAAGAGCTTATGCAAGCAAAAAATACATTTTTGAATAATTATCCATATAAATTTTGATTATCTTTTAATTTCATTACAATACTTTATAGGATGACTATATGAGACTGCAGATGATGTAGTGTCAAAGATTAATAGGTGTATAAAATATGGGGAGCCTAACACTCCCCTATTAATATATATTTACTCACATAAAATTTGTATCTATTTCTCTAATTAATTTAAGTGTTGAAAACGAACACAAATATTTTTTTGAGCCGAACACAAACACATGCTCAACTCGCTCAAGCTAAGCCCACAAGTTTTTTTATTGTGGCATTAGAAGATTATTCAACAAATGGCATAACATATCATTCCATCCAAACACAAATCTCCATCATTAATACAAATAGTTTAGAATGGCTTGCTGACACTTGGTCTTCAGTTTCATTTACATTACCCCTCCAAGGCCACAACTACTTATAATGTTCTTGAAACAGCTGGTCATCCATCGGGCATATCCGAGGATTAGTTTCAAGTTAACCCCAAATTAATATAGAATCCAAATCTCTAACTTCACTCTAAATCAATTCTATCAAACTTCATGTAAAAGTCCACTACCCTCACCCCGCAACTCCCGCAGCACAACGTACCGCTAATTCCCGTATAACTAACTACGGACATCCATCCGCAAGCCTGCACGACTCCCAAAGCAGAATTGACGGCAGATCCAATACCTCGCACCGAATTAACATACGGCCTCCCTCCCCGAACTCCCCGCACGAAGCGTATGCAGGGTATAGGATTATAAGAGTCTCTCCCTCTCGACAGTTTTTTGTGAGTTCCATGCTTTCAACTTCTCTGTTAGACGCCATAACTCTTTAATACTTTAGAAAGAAGCCAAGGAAGAAGACAATTAAGGCAAGTAAGCGAGTGGGGTAAATGGAATTAAGACTGAGAATCATTTTTGCTCTGTAATTGGAAGCTTTATTGGTTTTGATTGCATTCCGATTGAGGCGGAGGAGAGAGGGGGAGGAATGAAGATGAAGGCGACGGCGGCGGTGGAGTTCATTGTGGCGGCGGTGTTGGTTGCGGCGGTATGGACGGATGGAAGGGATGTATCGTACGATGGGAGGGCGCTTTTGATTAATGGGACGAGAAGAATTCTATTCTCTGGATCCATTCATTATCCGCGAAGCACTCCGGATGTAAGTCTTTCTCTTCTTATATGGAGCGAATATTACGTGCGGTATTTGTATGTGCTGATTGATGATATTGAAATGATAAATGAATATCCATCTCAACACCATCAATTCGCATGTGCGTGATTGTTGTGAATTGCGATTCTGTTTGCTTAGGCTTTAGGAATGGCGGATTGGTTTTGGCGTTTTGGTTCTTAAATGTGACTTGAGTTCTGTGCTGGTACGGGGATGGGGAAGGCGAGGATAGTACGGGTTAGATCGATGGCTCTTTTTCACTCAGGACAATAGCATGCTTCAGAACTTTAGAGTTCAAATATATATATATATATATATATAGTGGATC